TGAGATTGAGGCCTATATTTTTATTTTAGATACAAAGGTTAACCTTAACAGAAACAGAAGGTGCACTTTTAAGAAATTACTTTCTGTCTACCATGCCCCTATATGCACACCCAGAATAAAGCAAAGGGGCAGGGGGAATCTCAAAGTGAAGGTGATAGTGAGTGTAGGTGACACAGGGCCGAAGACACTCAAGAAAAGATTCTTGGCAGCACTGCTTGGAGTGTTCGGTTACTGTACTTCTGGGCTCACTTCTCCAGGCGGCCAGCGGGCCTCTCATGGTGTTTACAACAGACAGATCACATCCAGATCTTGCTGTTTCTCTCGCACAGATTTTCAAGTGCCTCTAAGCTTTGGAGTTTTTGAACCAGGAGTCCACTCCATCTCCCTAAGCCATATGAGGTTCACTACCAGCCTGGTGCCAGACACACTCTCATCATACACTCCTGCACACAAGACCTCCCTTTAAAAATTCATTAATATACATTTTAAGACTGTTAGCTCACTATGAGAATTTCCCATAGCACCTAAGTGTATTCAGTGCTCTTGATTGGTGTTGTGACAGACAAGGGAAGGATTCACTCAGTTGCCCACCTGACTGCATCCCTCTCGGGATCTTAGGACGCGTCTGATGTTGTCACAGAACAGCACGTTAGGGCCCTCTCAGATTCCATAGCCGGAGCCGTGAAACCATACAGACTGGGCGAGGCAAGCCACGCTTTGGTTACATGCACACTCACACTCAAACAGTCTCACAGAGTTTATGGCAGTTCCACTTTGCTTAGGGAAGTCCCTGACTGAGGCCTCTTGGTGAGACCTTAGAAGGGGATCAGTCTTCCCTTTTGTGCGTAGGGACAGGCCTGACTGGGTTTAACCCCGGCCCCGGGACCTTAGCTGTTCCAAAGTCCTGGTCCATTCTCTGGTTCAACCTCTCCTTTCGAGTCTGGTCAGGGGAAGAAGGTGTGGTGGCTGGCTGCCCCTATTTGGAGGAGGAGGGACTGCCAAATGTGGCAGTGGTGCACCGTCTCATCTGCCCAAGGAAGCTTGCCATCAGCCACTCCCTGACTCTAATCCAGTGTCTCAAGGGGCCAGCGCAGTAGGTTTCCTAGTCAGGGAACCAAATGTTACAGCAGTTTTAGATTTGAGAGTGTCACAGCAGCCCGGGGCCCAAGAGTGTTGCAGGAGCTCTTGATCCTTTGTGGAAGAAACCAAGGCCACACAGAGAGGTGAAGCAGAGATTCAGATTTTATTAAGCTGGCTGGCTCAGAGGAGCTAATTTCTCCAGATTCTGAGCCCAACATCATTCTTTAAAGGGATAGAAAAAACGGTCACAAACTTTATATGGAAAGGAAAGAAACCTCAAATAAGCAAAGATCAAAGTTGGAGGCTTGTCATTCCCTGATCTCAAAATTTACTACATAGCCACAGTGATCCAACAGCCTGGTATGATACATTGAAAGATACATAGATCAACAGAACAGAATTGAGAACCCACAAGCAAATCCATCAACATACAGTCAGCTGATATTTGACAAAAAGCCAAAACACATTAAATAGGGAAGAGAGTTACTTCAACAAATGGTGCTGGCAAAACTGGAAATCCATTTGCAAAGAATGAAACAAGACCCATATCTCACACCATATACAGAAACAAACTCTACATGGATTAAAGACCTAAATGTGAAACCTAGAATGATAAAGATCATCAGTGAAAAAATAGGGACAAACTTAGGAACCCTAATGCATGGCATACATACACTGTCAAACATTACAGAAAACACACAAATAGTAGAAGAGAAAATAGATGACTGTAACTTCTTAAAAATTAGAGACTTATGTGCACCAAAAGATTTTGCCAAAAGAGTGAAAAAGGGAGTCCACAAACTGGGAAAAATGTATTTGCAATGACATATGAGACAAGGGACTAATATCTAAAATGTATAGAAAAATTCAAAACCTCTAAAAGAAAAAGATAAATAACCCAATTAAAAAATGGGCAGAGGACAAGAAGAGTGACTTCATCAAAGAGGACATTCAGGTGGCCAACAAACATGGAGAATTGTTTATGATTATTAGCAAATCAAAATCATAAGGAGATATCATCACATACCAGCATTACCAGCAAAGTTAAAAAAAGCAGAGCATAACAAATGCTGGTGAGGGTGTGGAGAGGCTGGGACCCTCCTACATTGCTTGTGGGACTTTAAAATGGTTCAGCCACTCTGCAAAATGGCATGGTGATTCCTCAAAAGGTTGAAACAGAAACATCCTGTTATCCAGCAATACCTCTACTGGGTATATAGCCATGAGAAACAAGAACAAGAATATGAGTAGATATAAGTACACTGATGTTCAGAGCAATACTATTTACAACAGCAAAAAGATGGAGACAGCCTAAGTGCCCATCAATGGAAGAATGGATAAACAAACTTTGATGCATACACACAATGGAATTCTATGCAATGTTGAAGAATAAAGATGAATCTGCAAAATACCTAACATAGATGAACCTAGAGGACATTAGTCAGTCACCAAAGGAAAAATATTGTATGAGATCGTCATTGTCAAAGCTTAATAATAGGTTTCCAAACTAAAAGAAACATTCTTTGATAGGTAGAGTGGTGACAAGGAAAGGAGAGTATTCCTTTCTCTCCTCCTCAAGTGTCTATTTTATAATGGTATGCCAGGGAAACCAAGATTCAGAAGACAACCATCCATCTTTACATTATTTCCTCCCTTTCCCCCATTCCAACCATGTCTCAATCCCTGTATCCCTGAGCTCTGTTGTTTCAAAGTTGTGCATACATCATTATTTACCTCTGTCCCACTTAGCCCATGCAAACTTAGGTTTTCCCGTCAGCTTTGTTCTTCCATTCGCCTCCCCCTTCTTGTGTATTGCCTCCTCCCTAGCACCAAAACTATCCTATGTCTATTCCCTATCCTGTGCTCCACTTTCTCCTTCCTCCCTTCACCCCACCTCCCACATCCCGGTAGCCAGCAAAGAATCTCCCCTTTTAGTATATGTTCTTTTCCTTATACTTTACAGTAGTGGTCATATGCAGTATTTCTTCTTTTGTGACTGACTAATTTCACTTAACATAATGTCCTCAAGGTTTATCCATGTTATGCAGTGCATTGCAGCTTCCTTGTTATTCTTCAAGGTAGCATAATATTCCATTGTGTGTGTTTACCACAGTTTGTTTATCCAAAAAAGGTGCTTTGTTCTTAAGCACTCATTAAGTGCGTACATTATGCCAGGCATTGACTTAGTCTGGAAAGAGCTTTGAGGAAGGAAATCAACACATCCCCAGTCTCCTTTCCTTTCATCCCTTTGTACTTATTCTGGTCATGTTCCCCAGGCCCTGCTTCTTAAACTGACTATCAATGAATCCCCAACTCCGATGTAGGCTGGTTAACAGTTTAGGGATTTCCCTCTCCCAGGGGTGTTGGCAGTTTTCTAGGAGACTCTGAAAACCTTCAACGCTTCCAAGATTCAAAAGATTGGAAATGTAATGGTGAAACTTCAGTGGCTGTGACAGATTGTAAAGGAGATAATTTTGGGGGCAAAAGACCTAGTTCAAACCCTGTCAAATATTACCCAATCAGCCCCTTGCATGCTCTCATACTTTGTGGGAACCCACAGACCCACAGGTGAGACTGGAACCTGAGGTTCCTCTAAATCATAGGATCCTGCTATGGATGGACTTGCATCTGGCTGGGGGACCCCAGGGACCTAGTCTTTTTCTCCCCTGGAATGTAGAGCCCTGAGTGCCCTTCCCCCGCTCCGACCCGCCCCCGACAGCTCAGGCGGGAGCGCGCCTCCACAGGCTGGGCTGGAATACCAGAGCGCGCGTCTCGGCGCGGGAGCGCGCCCCGGGAGAACCCCAGCAAGATGGAGGCCGCGTCCAGGCCGCCGCCTGGGCCCTGGCAGCCACAGCTGGGAGCACCGAGCCGTGGCGCCTAGGCTGTGCCAGTACCGGACCCGCCGCCCCCGACCCGGCCCAGGTTGGTCTCCCTGCACCCCATTTTGTGGCCGCAGCCTCCTGGCGCCCCTAGCCTGGGCGCTAGGCAACCCCCCCCCCAAACCGGCCCTACCCGGGCCCGGAAGCTCCCCGGGCCCTAGGGCAGCCCCTGCCCACTGCCCGCCCCTCGTAGCTCAAGCTGCCCTCCCGCCCAGCTTCGTCGTCCCCTTTGCCTGGAAAGCCCTTTTCCCTAGCCCCAATCTATCAAGCCTAGGCTCCCCCAGCCGACATCCAGCTATGGTTTCGAGAAGCACCCCCACCTGGTGCCCAGACCCTGCGGTCCCGGTCCCGGACTCCCCTTCTAACCTCATCCTAATTTCACCACTTCGCCCTCTTCGACCCTCATACTAGCCCCCAGTCCTTGTCCTAATACCATTATCAGCTTCCTAGGCCACAAGTATCAGCCCCTATATTCCCTTCTTGCCCCCTCATAATAGCACCCACTCCCCCATAGCACCTTTTTAGATACCCAATCCCAGACCTCTTTCTACTCCTAATTCCAGCCCCCAAAATCCCTTTCGAGCTCCCTATATACAGCCCCTCTGCTAATCTTCCAATACCAGCCCCATTCCATCCCCCATGGACCCCTTCCACTCCTACAATACTAGCTCCTAAGCCTCCTCCCCAAGTCCCCTATGACCGTGTTCTAGTCTTTTTCCCATTGCAGCCCCTCACTACAGTCCCCCAACTTTCACAGGCCCTTTCCTTGCCCCCTCCAAAGGAAATCTTTGCCAATCCCCTCAGACACCGCCCACTCTAGTGGTTCCCTTCTGGCATCCCCTTACTGGTCCCTAGCGCCCCCCACTCCTAGCTCTTCTCCAGGCCCCACCTTCACGAGTTCCTTGGCTCAGGGCCGGCTTTCACGTGTGTCCCCAGCTCCCACCCGCAGCCCGGCGATCAGTCCCGGGCCAGCCGATCAATCCCGGGCCAGCGGCCCCTGCCAGCCGCCCGCTGCCGCCGCCGGCCCCGCCCCCGGGCACCATGCTGCCCTCGCAGGAGGCCTCCAAGCTCTACCACGAGCACTACATGCGGAACTCGCGGGCCATCGGCGTGCTGTGGGCCATCTTCACCATCTGCTTCGCCATCATCAACGTGGTGGTCTTCATCCAGCCCTACTGGGTGGGCGACAGCGTGAGCACCCCCAAGCCTGGCTACTTCGGCCTCTTCCACTACTGCGTGGGCAGTGGGCTAGCGGGCCGTGATCTCACCTGCCGCGGCTCCTTCACCGACTTCAGCACCATACCGTCCGGCGCCTTCAAGGCTGCCGCCTTCTTCGTGCTGCTCTCCATGGTGCTGATCCTCGGCTGCATCACCTGCTTTGCGCTTTTCTTCTTCTGCAACACAGCCACGGTCTACAAGATCTGCGCCTGGATGCAGCTCTTAGCAGGTAGGGGGTAGCGGGGAGGCGAGACTCCCCAGACAATGCTCCGGGGATGGGGTCTCCTTGCAAGGTCCCTTTCTTGGAAGAGTCAGAGGTAGGTTCTGCTCCTGTAAGACACCTATTTCTTTGGCTGACCCACAACAGCCACTGGGAGAGGGGATTCAATAAGAGACAACTTGGAGCAAGGGCCAGAGCCTTAGAAGGAACTCCTTGGGTCTGTGTGCCTGGGTATTCATACTGCATTTATTGGTAGCTTAGAATTATGTTAGCATTTCTGAGGGTCTTTGTTTATTATGCTGTCTTAAGGGAGATATTTGTTTAAGTTACTTTGGTGGTGGTGGTGTGCTGTGGAGTCAGTTACGACTCTTAGCGACACAGTATAGGGTTTCTGAGGCTCTAAAGGTGATCAATTTTTGCTATATTTTAAAGAGTATGAGATTTGGAATCAAAAGACCTGGCTTTAACCTTTTCAATGATGAGATTATCAACTTGGGTTTCTCACTTTGTTTCTCTGAGTCTTAGTTTCCTCATCTGTAAAACAGTGGAGGGGGTTCCAAGAGGACAAACGAAAGTGTTGTGACAAGATAAGGGGAGAGGAGGAGGTCTTCAGTGCCCAGCCAATGTTTGATATGCAGGTGATGGCAACACCTGGTAACATGAATCCTTGGAGTGCTGATCTCCATCGCCACTTCTCCACACTCAGTGCAGGAAGGGTTCTGGTGCCATTCCCAAATACAGTGAGTCCCTGCGACCCTCTGAAATGTTTGGCTAAGACAGTTATATCCCTAAGAACCTGGGAAAGGTCATTTGGGAACAAGAAATGCTGAGACAGTTTTCCAGGATCCATTAGAGTTCCCCACCCCCACATATCTTTCGATCTAAGACAGATTTTGAACACTCAGCAACTTGGACATTTGCCTAATTGCAGGCAAGGATGTGAGTTGTTGGGGTGGGGAAAGTTGGTCCAGAGGATGGCAGGGATGGAGGAGGAGAGCTGGTGAAGGCTAAAAAAAGGTTTGGGGGTTTCCAGGAATGAGAAAGAGTAGGAAAATGAGCTGCTCATGCAATAGAAAGATGTTAAAATAACCCTAAGATAAACACCCAACCAATATCAGCCTCATTCAAAAGAGACCCTTTGGGAGCCTGAAACCATGTAGACAACTGTCTTCAGAGCATAGGATGTAGTCTCTTGAACATCTTCATTGAGGGAAAACCTCCATCTTTTGAAGGAGGAATATGAGTTTGGGAAATGGCTTGAAGTCACTTGGGGCCAAGTGGAGAACACAGTGGGTCATCAAATTGAGGATGTGTCTTTCGTGGCAAAAGCCATGTTATGATGATGGAGGTTATGAGTCTAGTTTGCTTCCCCAAGAGAACTTTTACAGATATAGGAAGGGTTTGCTGCCCCTTTGGGAAAATTGCCAACGGTCCCTAAAGGGAAGTGCTTATTCAGACACGGACGTTCTACTAGACTTGTTTCAAATACATCTCACCCCATTCAATTTGGATATGGGTCTTTGGAATTTTTGAAGGAGGATATGGAAGGATAATTGTAAGAGGTGTGGGTAGGGGGAGGATCACTCCATATTCTTTAGTGATATCCAGAGAGATGGGTTTTAGATATTTCCATTCCATGCTTCTGCCGAAGGCAAACTGAAAAGAATATAAGCTCATTTGGAACCTTTGATTTCTCAGTCTTAATTTGGAATCTGCAGATGGGTTTCTGACTTCTTGGTCCTCAAATTACCACATGGGCTTAATACTGGAGATTTGATGAACTGTCCAACAACCCCATGTAATCAGAATTTCAGAGATCTTAGGAATAATCTCCTTCAAACCCTGCCTACCCCACATTTTAGAGAGAAGAAATCATTCAGAGATGTGAAAGGATTGCCCCAAATCACACAGCCAGTTATGGAGCAAACTAGAATTAAAGTCTTGACTCTTGACCTAATGTTCTTTCCCTGGTGTTACTTGTCTTGGAACTCATTTGGTAGATTGAGCAGTTAGTTCCATTTTTCTCAGAGGTTTCTGAGCTCGCTGGGTAAGTGACTGATTCACTTTACTTAATAAAGTGACACTAAGCCAGAGACCAGAGCATTGGGCCAAGAGCCATGGGATAAGGGATCTTGACTCTGCCTGTGACTCACCAGGCAATGATAAGCAAATCTTTTTTAGATTAAGTCTTAATTTTCCTATCTGTACAATGAGTTGATTTAAAGTATCTCATTTAGTCCCGTAAGACACCTAGAACAACTCTTTCACCAAGGTAACTCCATTCAGAAAATAAGACAGTTGTCCTCAAAGGAACTACAAAGAAACTAAGGGTCTAATTTGTGTCAGATAAGAATTAAAATGCCTATCTTGTGATTCTTGTTCCTGTGAAATTTAATTCAGATATTTTAGGGTCTTTAAAATGCAGAGCACTAGTCCATTGGGAAAATGCAAGGAGGCATTTATTCCTTTGCTTATGCCTCACTTGGTCTGTGATCATTCCTCTCCTATGTGCTGCAATACTGACACACATTTGTCCCAAGGAGCTCAGGTCTATAACAGGCAGTCCTGGTTCTCAGGAAGTTTACCATTTAGTTGGGTATTGGTTCACATCTATGAGTAGCAGGTTACCAAAACCCAACTCCAATTGGCTTAGACAGATTAAAATAAAATAGAGAGAGTAGGGTATATTGATTTACATAATTTAAAATCTAAGAATATTTTACTTCAGGCATGGATGGAATGAGGTACTCAAATAATGCTGTTAAATCTATGTCTCTCTCCATTTCTTGGTTCCTCTGTGTTGGCTCCATTTTAAGCCTGCTTCTCTCTTTAAAGTGACAGACAAGGCCACTGACAGTTCTGCATTTACACTGCTTCAGCCACTGGATGAAAAACACATTTCCGAGTGGTTACAGCAAAAGTTCTAGGGCTGATCATCAGTGGTCTAGTTTTGGTCCAGGGTTCACTTCTGAATTAATCATACTGACTTTATCTAAGGCCTGGATTACATACTCAACCATGAAACACATGGACTGATAGTGGAGAAAGATAAAACTTCCACAAAGGGAAGTCAAATGTGACCCCTAGAAGAAGGGGAATATAGTTAAGGCACATACAGACAGAAGCCTCCCCCTGGGCAGTCTGAGCACTAATGTGTGTTGGAATGTAAGTTCTGTTTAAACCCAGAGAATTAGAGGTGTCTGCTGACTTAGTTGGGAGCTGATGCTTGAGCTGGGCAGGGTGTTGACAGAGATGAAGTGTGGGAGAGCTTTCTGAGTGGAGAAGGAGTCCATGGGTGCAAACAGGCTTGAGTGTGACATCCACCTAGGGCAACAGCTGGAAGAAAGGCCAGGAAGTAATGACAGGACTAGGCTATGAATAGCAGATCAAGGGATTTGGATTTGTAATTCACAGGCAAGTGGAAGCTACTACTACTATTATTATTATTCATGATAAGAAGTTAACATTTCTTTACTATGTACTAGAATATATATGCTAAACATTTTACATGCAGAATATGATTTAATCTTCACAATATTCCTATGTATTAGGTATATTATTATTTTACAGATTACAAAACTGAGTCTCAAAAGGATAACTCATTTCAAGGTCTCTTACTGCCCATAAGTAGTGGAGTTAGGATTTTCACTTGATCAGTGTGACTTCAAAGCCCACCATTAGAGGAGGATTATTGTTGAGCATGCTGGCAGGATAAATTTGCCCAAAGAATAGGATGGTAAGTAGAGAGACTGGAAGACCCAGGTGGCTCTTTAAGGAATGAAGTAATCAGCTTTCAGGGCCTATGAGGCTATCTTTGCTATTCTCTACCTGGTGTTTTCCATTTACAGAGTGCGTACAATATACCTGCTTCTATGCTAGACATTTTCATACTCATTACATCATTTAATCTTCATCTGTTGAAAAATATACAGGTATTATCCCCATTTTACAAGGAGCTCTGGTAGCGTAGTGGTTACGAATCGGGCTGCGAACCTTAAGATCAGCGGTTCGAAACTACCAGCTGCTCCGCGGGAGAAAGATGAGGCTTTCTACTCCCGTAAAGATTTACACCCTCGGAAACCCTGTACAGGGTCGCTATGGGTCGGAACCGACTCGATGGCACTTAACAACAACAACATCCCCATTTTACAGATGAGGAAACTGAGGTTCAGAAAACCCATGTGACCTGCTAAAGTCACCTAGCTGGTAAGTGGTAAGAGGAGAAGAGACAAGTCCATGGTCATAGAGTGAGACTTGAGGCCAGGACTCCTCGTATTTCCCTTGAGGAAAGAGGATTCTGACCACAGTCTGCTCACACTCTTGAGTGCCTACTATGTAGCCAGGCACTGCCCTAGTACCAAAGCCACAGCAGAGGTGAGCATCTTCTAGCCTTCTGATGTGTGTCCACAGTCACCTGGGATTTCTGGGTTAGGAGTAGTAATCACAGGAACCATTGGTGCAACTGAGAATATATGCCTACCCTCCTCTCCATTTCCTTGGGTCTTGTTTCTGATTTGATTTGGGATTGTATTTCTTCCAGTAAGTGTTTGTTGTGTGTGCATGACCAGGCATAGCACAATAGGAGTACTTTTCTCATTCCTTCTTTCCCTCCTTCCCTTCCTCCTGTTGCTTCTTCCTCTTTCCTTTCCACTCCTTTCTTGGCTGGTTTTCTCCTTCTCCCTTTTCTTTCTTTCTCACATCAATCCTTTGTTGTTGAAAGTCTCCTATGTACAAGAGGTATGTGCTAAACTCTGGAATCCTGAACAAGAGTCCTTGCCCCCAAGGAGCTCATGTCTAATGGGAGAGGAAGGAGGGGAAATAGATCATCATAATATAGTACAACACACGAAATGATGGAGTCATGCACAAAGTGTTCTGGGGGCACCAAAAAAACGTCTAACTAGGCAAGGATAGCCAGGGAAGTCTTCAGCATTAAACCTGAATCTTAAAGGATAAGCAAGACCCCCAGTGGCACAATGGTTAAGGATTCAACTGCTAAACAAAAGGTT